ATTTTCCATGAATAAATCCTAATTAGTGGAAGGTTGTCTTAAATTTGTCTTTCTCACTGCTATGGCAGTGAAAGCAGCAGTGGGGGGAAGGGGCGGACCCCTGCACTTTGTTCCCCAGCTCCTTGCCCCCCTCCATCCCCTACCTGCTCCCCCTTGCTTGTGCCTGCCCCCCTCCTCCACTCCCTGTCCATCTGCTTGCCCTTACTTTCTGCTGCAGCACCTCCAGGGCAGTCAGCAGTAGTGTAGCCCCAGCCCCAGGCCCTGCTTCCCGCACACCTCACATGGGAGAGGTACTTCCTCCCAAACATCCCCTTCACAGACACAACAGAATGGGTATCTCTTGTTCTTTAGCCATCACTTGGAACTTCTGTTGCTCACTTTTTTACAATGACTGCCTTTTCACATGCCAGGGCACATGTTTGGCTTGTAGGATCATATAGCAAAGTAGAAGTCAAGATGTTGTGCTGTAGTATGAAGATGTACCACCTAATGGGCCCAGTACGATTCACAGAGTTGCAAACCACTTACTTTAGGGACTACAATTTAGCAACCACACACAGGAGTAGGGTGGCCATCATACAGGACATTCCCGTTTTCTGCTACTCTGCCCTCTATTGATACGAAACCTAGTGCCTTTATGTCAAGAGAAAAATAGAGGACATAAAGGCATCGGGTTTCATATCAACAGAGGACAGAGGACAACCAGACTGTCCTCTATGATGGTCACCCTACACAGGAGCTTACTGGACAGAATAAGGGAAACATGTTAGAGACTTGGGAAAACCAAATCAAAGCTCCAACAATGTTAAATAAGACTCCCTGCCCTTACTGCCAACCAAAGTGCCCCAGCAATAGTCACAAACCCAACCCCCTTCTCCTTCTCCCTTAGCTGCAAGTGGCTGATGCAGTGTTTATCCCGTAACTTCCTCTTCTTCTTATGCCCTATTCACAGTTCACTGTCTAGGTTAGGAGAGCCTAAATGTGGGGCAGTCTGCCCCCTCACTACAGTTCCAGGTGCTGTACCACCAATCCCAGCTGCCAAATGGTCATTGGTCTGGTACTGGCACTCAGAGTCCCTCAGTTGTTCTTGGCCATTTTATCCCAAGCAATCTTAGCTCCTCCAAACTGTTCCATGCCTAGCCATCTGGTATCCACTTGTCATCTCAAAACTGCTTCTTTTGTTGCAACTCTACTTACCAGTTCTGCAGCAAGTCTGGCCATCCCCTCAGCGCTCTACTGCAGCATCTCAGCTCCTCAGAAAGGAGTCGAGAGCATGTAGGACCCCCCCGCTCTGCCACAAAAGAAAGACTCCTGAATGGTAGACTCGTCTTTCCTTCTCCTTACTTTACCCATGCTCCTTTACCCCACCATGTGAGACTGCAGTCATTTTAAGGTGTGATGCTTTGCCTAAGTCACATTTGACATAGTTCTCTTTTCCATTTATTTTCAGATATGGATAACAGAATTTTATAAACCCAACTTCAAAATGTAACTTTATGTTAATGAAAACGCCCTAAATTGTCAAATAACCAACATGCAAATGAGGTCTGGCTCCCAGCTCCCCAGAGATGCTGACAGAGGGCTCCTTTGCCCTGTAGGACTTCTGCCTGTCTGGTGGTCTCAGGGAGCTCTGGCCACTCCTCTCTGTTCTCCAACAGGTGTCAAGAGTTAGGTCCCTAACCTTTCAAAGCTCTAAGCAATAGGCTTTATATACAACTATTTATACAAACTGAGACACCGTCACTGGCAACAGGAAAGACAGAAAGTAGCCCCCAACCCCAGCATGTAAGTTAGGACATATTCCAGAATATTCCGGAGAGAAGTGGACTCAAGTCTAGACAGACAGAAGAGAGGATTGTGGCTGCCTGCTGTAAGCGCTGGTTATTAGGTAAATGAGACAATAGTATCCTTATTTTTGTGAATGTAGCCCGAAACTTTATTCCAGCAAAACAATTGGAGACATTTGTCCTGAAGTTTGCAAATCATTTGGGGAGGATCAAAGGTGCAATTTTTGGTGAATATAAGTATCCACTAAAAAAAAAAAAAAAAAAAGACAATCTACTCAGTATCTCACGTAAATAGACTCTAATGCCAATTACCAAATCTTATTACTGCTTTGACACTGTTGGAAAATCATCAGCTCTGAAATGTGGCATTCTCTTGTTTTGACCTCAGTATATTTATACAGTAGGGCCACCTATATGCTTTGCTACCTTACTTCAAGCTGTTAAATAGCAAAATCCATATCTTTCCAAATGTTGTAGCCTTTCTAAACAATCTCTCTTAAGTACTTCAATATAATTGGGTGTTTTTTCCTACAAAAAAGGCTGTTTAATTTCCCTCCAACATTTTTTTCCTTGGCTGGGGATTAGTATTCATAACCGAGTAACATACGCAGCCCCTTCCATTTTCTTTTGGAATGTACTCAATATATTCTTTGAAACCTGATGATCTCTTGCTCTGTGGGATACATATGCAAGAAATATAGCAATAAATAGGAGGCTCACAACCAGAGTTAAGCAAAGCATATAGGCAGCCCCACTGTATAAATATATTGAGGTCCAAACAAGAGAATGCCACATTTCAGAGTCGATGATTTTCCAACAGTTTATTTTGATATAGGTAAATATTAACTGGAATAGGATGTAACTGCTCCTTTAAGAAAACCAGGAAAAGCCTCCTGGCTAGGACCACTCACCCAGATTTTCCTGGAACAATTCTTCTAGGACAGGTGACATGGTCACCACGGTGGGGGAAGTGATCACAGATAAGCAGTCTGGAATTCATACTAAAGCATATGCTAGTCAGCTGTTTGTACCGTCTTGGGATTTCTGGTCATTTTCAGGTTTACATACACATGGAGGACAATTAAAATGTATCCGAGTAGGATTGTACATGTTAATCATCTAGATGTCTCAAGGTACAGGTATACAGAAAAAAAAAGTTGTTCTTATGTTACTGACTGCTACTGAGTGCAGTTTGGGAAGAGATTCAGTCAACATGCATGAAATCAAGACTTGGAAAGCTCAGAGACTCACTGAAATAAGGTCAAGAGTTCAGAAATGAATGTTTAACGCTAGGCACACTGAACTATCTGAAGTGATTTGATTTTCAAAAGTGAATACTCAGGAGCTCCCATGGATTTCAGGTGCTTAATTGTGGCTTTAGGAGTCTAAATTTTAGGCATTTCCAAAAACATGGTTTTTGAGTGAATGCAGTGTGAACATATGCTGCAATATCTATAAGATATAGCTCTGTGTCTTATGACAGCCATACAGGAGCAAAATAAAATGCTTATATGTAATATATTTCTCTCTCATTTTGATTACTTACCAATCTATGCATAAAGGTCTTAATAAACACTGATATGGATTTACAAATTGTTGACCATTTTAAATGCTTAGCTTGCTTTCTTATTCTATACCTAATAAGCAGTTAATAAATAAAATGTAATTTCTCATTGTACTACTGTAGTACATTCCTAAGAAACATAGTAATTACACATCAACTGAGATCATGACCTTGTCTCTGCTGATTCTTTTCCCTAAATACATTTTGCAAAATGTTGGGAAAGCTAAAAAATAAATATTGATGTATTGAAGCACATGGTGATATTTGCTTTTGAATAAACTTAGCATGAAGATATTTGGAAATCCCTTTTCAATAATGAGTATCTGAAAATATAGTCAATTTGAGAGAGAGAAAAAGAAGTGATGGATTTTTTTTCCCTATCTACATAGATTAACGGATCCCTCTCACCAGTGACAATTGTTCTATGTTCATTATAAAAAACCATCTACAGAGCAAAATGTATCAAGGATACAACAAATGGCATATATTAAAGTTTTAACACATAATTAGGATGACCATGTTTCCTAAGTCTCAAAACAGGACAACTTGAAAAGAGTGTGTGTGTGTGGGGGGGGGAGTTTACCCTAGCGCTTCCTTTTCAACGGTTCGCTGGCATTCTGCAGTACTCTGCCCCACTCCACCCTGTAAGTCTCCACTATGTTTAGCTGTATCCAAGCTATGGTCTTAGGTGAGTGGCTGGAGAGCAGAGTGTTGTGGGATGTTGAAGGATTAGCAGTTGCCCTATCACAGTTCCAGCTAGAGAGCACTGCCACTGCTGCATTCCAGCTGAAAATGGGACAAAAGCATTCATTCCACCAAACCAATTGGATCCCAAGGACACTTATTTAAAATGGGACGTCTGGGGGAAAAACAGGATGTATGGTCACCCTATATATCATGCCCATGGCAGGATCACAATAAATCATCCTTCGAAAGATATCTTCCATACTCTGGAAATTGTTCAGTATAAATACTGCAGCAAAGCAAATTATTCTAGCATTTTTCTGACCGCTGTACTGTACTATATGTATATCAGAAATATAAAACGATGGATTTTTATGCTGTGCCTAAAACAAGTATTTATAGAGTTACTTTACTACATAGAACATTAAGAGGACTCAATTTTAAATACTTTTTAAATAGGTTTTTAAAGTTTCTAAATAACCTGATAACTTCAAGGGCCTGTATGATGTTTCATTAAAAATGTTCCTATTTGTTTTAGATTGTTAAAAAAACCCATATCGTTGCTCGGCATTAGACTACCATATACGGAGTAAATGATTGTTTAATCACTACATTGATGGAAACCTGGAGTTCTGAATCATCATTTTAGTTTCTCAAAGAAATGAAAGAGCTGTGATCCAAGCTATAACTTTCAGCCAATCACATAAAGACAAATCAGCCTTCAGGCAAATCAGGAGTCTTGATTTAAGCTTACCTGGACTTGGCTCTTTGCCCAGTTGTAAAAATCTCTGTTAAAAACACTGTAAAATTCATATTAGCATGTTTCCATTTTTGCACATTGTCATTGCTATGAAAGACTGAATATCAAATAGGCTGCTGATTAAAACTAATTGATCCTGAAAATGTTTTTCTTTATTAAAAAAAGGGGAAGTTTAGCTCCCTGGGGATACTATTCAAATACAGAGCTCGTGGGTGGAGTTGAGGTGTGCCAAGGTACATAAGTAGGCATTATGAGCCCTACAGGTTCACACTGAAACTTGGAACACTTTCATAGCTCTTCAGACAGGTGGGAGAGAAAACAAGGTAAGGCTGTGAGCACTGGCTTAGAAATGCACCTGTTAGAATCCTGTGAGCTTTACGTTCAGGTTACTTATTACTGTGGCAGGTAACAGACAGAAAGAAAGGAACGGAGCAACTTACAGTTGAGCTCACCATGGGGGAATAGATGGAATAATGCTGTCTCTTCATGTTAAAAGAATTAGAATGATTTTTTTTAACAGCTTAGAATGACTATACCTAGCTTTGCACAGATGCCGCTTTAGGTGTAGTGCTTCTTGGCCTTTACTTTCAGTTCTGCATCATCCTGAGATTTGTTTGTTCTTGCTTTTCCTGGTTGGCCGGCACCCCCTTGTTCTTTTTAAAGGAGACCTTCATCTGTACTGATCTGATTAAACTATCTTTAGAATCTCCAGTGGGCTTCTAAGCAAGACTCATTCAAACCTCGTCCTTTCAGAGAACAATTTTTTTTTTTAATGTAAAGGTCAGTGTATGTCCAAAACCTGGTACTGCATTTTGCATGTCTCTGAAGCTGTGATTACATAGATAGTCAGGGTCTACTGAGCATTACAACAGCAAAGAATGCTGTACCATTTATTCAACCTGAGGAAAGCAAGTCCTCCCAGGACTTCTGGCAAAGCAAGGCTGAATGGTATCACATTTCCACTTTTCTAACCTGCGTTTTAAAAGGTGCTTATGCACCCGCGTTGATGTTCCTATGCTTTAGAATGTCTGCTTACCTTAAGCTTTTCTGTGTACCTCTTAGCTCAGTATCCTAGCATCCAGTGACAAGTGAATGAGAAAGTTGGATCATGCTAAGTGAATTCACTGGCAGAATCATTTCATTTAGAAAATTGAGAAACATGTCATCTAACATGACCTGCTTCATTCTCACTTGTACAATTGGGCAAAGGAAGAGATTTCAGTAGCAAAGCATCCCTGGAAGTGATACATTGCATTTCTAAACCAATCCTCAGTATTCTAAATGAAACCATTATTTCTTGAAAACTGTATTATTGTGTGGCTTTAAGGGAAAGATTTAGAGAACAATATTAGAATTCAAGACTTATTTTGAAGGCTTTGGCAAGTAACTCCCTTTAACTCCATTGTTTCATTTGCAAAACTGAGGAAATGACCTCCTCAATCTAACTTCCCTGAACAAAACACTTGGGAAGTGCTTAATTTTTGCAGTGATGGATTTTATAGAAAGGTCTCAGAAACACTTATTATTATTTGCAAAAGCCTTTATATTCTAACATGATGGGTATTATAGAAAATGCTGAACTTTCATTGTTTCATTGAGCTAATTCAGTATTTGTAGTACTGTCAAGAAAAACAGGACAGGGAGTAAAAGAGAGATATAGCATCAAAGTGGGTCTCTAGGCTGACTACATCTAGATGAGATAAGCTTATTTAAAACTGGCAACAAGTAACTTAAAACAAAATTATACCAGTTCCTGAGATATTAAAAAATATTTGCTAAACCAGTCTGACTATTCATTACATTTTTAGGAACACAATCTACCTATAGCAGTTCATTCCAGCAGTGACCCTGCCCTGATATATTTTTATGACTTAACTGTAGACTTAGAGCTTATATGTAGCACCCTCCTAAACAATTATCCAGTTAGGAGTGTGAAAAATGGCAGCATTATAAATGTCAATTATCTTTTTCAGCACTAGTCATGGAGAAGAATTATATTTCAATGTTCCTGCTGCTTGTTGCTGTTGCCTATACCCTTGCTAAAGATTTTGGGGCTAAGGACAAAAAGGACACAAATGAGTATAAACCAAAATTGCCTCAAACTCTCTCCAGAGGTAAAATGTTGTTCATTCTCACTGCCCTACTTCCATAAGAATCTTTAACCCTTTAATCTCCTAATATTTATTCCTCTTGCGTTATTAATAGTTCCTTGACACTCTGCTCTTTTCCTTTCAGCTACGTATATTTAAAAAAAAAACAGTCTCTTGCCACTTGAAATACACTTTCCTGATATTTTTTCTACAAGTCATTTTGTCTTCATTGCATTTAAATTCCCTTTTGGCAAGACATTCTCAAAGTAGTTCTCAGTAGCCTTTATGTTTACACTTGACCTATAAAATAGTCTTCTCATTGCCAACAACTTTGACAGTGACTCCTCTTTGTCATTTGCCTTTAGGTTGGGGTGATCAGCTGATCTGGACTCAGACTTATGAAGAAGCCTTGTTTAGAGCCAAGTCTGGGTAAATCAACTTTACCTATTCTTTTGATAGGTTTCAATGGCGCCATCTAGTGTGATATTTATATTTACATGAATAATAGCAAGAAAAGAGAAGTTGCCAGAACTTAGAAATGTGTCCATTTATTAACTGATTTTACAGTCTAAGATGTTTTTCCACATAAGTACTGGCTTTAAGATTGGTAATAGTAAAAATCTGAAATAAGACTTCTTCTGTTTCAGTAACAAACCCATATTGATTATTCATCATTTAGAGGACTGCCCACACAGTCAAGGTAAGTTTTGAGTAGAAACATCTTGCTTTACACCTTTATATTGCTAAAAAAACACCCATTTTTCTTCTAAAAACACCTCATTGAAATACTAGCAAGCAACCTGTGTTGCTTTCAGAATTGCAGACATTTTAATCTTGTGCAGTACAGGTTCAAATCATGATACATTAGCTTTCAATTTTGTGAGAATGATGCAAATTTAATCTAAGGCTGGGAATAAAGGTGTTGAGAAAGTGTTATTTCTAGAGATGGACTGAGCAAGATGCATGCAATTCTCACTCCTGATCAAAGTTACCATTTACAATAGGATGCAGACATGACAGTATAGAAATTTCAAGTTCTAAGAGATTTCTGCCATATTGGGGACATCTGTTTTCTCAAGATTTCCAGCCATATTCATACCAGATCCTTAATGCAATAAGTCATCTATATGATTAGTTCCTATTGCTCATGAAAAGCCCTACAGATTTCCTTGGAGATCTCTGTGCACCTAACGGACCATCCAAACAATTCAGTTTTGAGAACAGCCCTCAACCTGTAAAGTTGTAAACCAAACCAGAACTAACTTCAGTGTGTTTGGCTTAGACTCCTCTTAGGAGTGAGAATGGCCTGCATCTTTCTCAGTCCATATCTAGAAATAACACTTTCTCAACACCTTTATTCATATGCACAGTTAGAAAGAGTTTAGACTACAGGAACGCAGTTTTGTACCACTTGCCTTTGTTACTTAAGGTCTGTTCCAGCTACTGTTCACCCACACACTAAAAGAAAGGAACCTACAGCCTTTTCAGCTGGTCACTATAATTGTTTTCTAACTTGAATTCAGGGTTTGAACTACAAGGGAGCTCATGGGGGCTGAGCCCTGCCATAAGAGATGAGAGCTCTCCTGTAAGATTTGAAAATCATAACTTGATTTATAACTTGATTTTGGGGGGGGTCTCTGATTTTATTGGGGTATCGTGATGGGCCGCCTAATTTTTTTTGCAGACCCCTGCAAGAGTCAAAGTGTAATTTGAACCCTGCATTGGACTTGTATATTATAGCATGGAGAATCCACCAATCACTCCAGATCTGATTCTGTATTGTTTCTTGACAAAGATAAATGGTTAATTTCCTTCCTGGCTTTTGTTTTTTTTTAACAATCATTCACATTTATGTTCTAGCACTGAAGAAAGTATTTGCTGCACACAAAGAAATACAGAAATTAGCTGAAAAGTTTGTTCTTATTAATCTTGTTGTAAGTATTCAGCTACACTTCATTAAAGCTCTTTTATAACACTGTCTGGAAGCAATAAACTTCCATCTTTATAGTGTCTTGGATAAGGTTAATGTTTGGCATCACTTGCCAAGGGGAAATGACTATGCTGCAATAGGGATAGATTTAGCAATAAATCTTTACCTATTATAATAATATATAATGACTATAAAATATTTATACCAATAAAACAATTAATTATGAGATGCCTTGCAGTTATAGCATTGTTCTCTCATTAATGTATTCCTCACATATTAAAACATAATCTTTAAAATGAATTTTAATTTTATAGCCACCAAATTATGAACTGGAAATTAAACGTTCTGTTTATATTACCTATACAGCATGACTAACAGCACTCTTGATTTAAAACCTTATCATTTATTCCAGTATGAAACAACAGACAAGCATCTTTCACCTGATGGCCAGTATGTCCCTCGAATTATGTTTATTGGTGAGTACCTGACACTCTCAAAGAGGCTCAAGAATAATGCTATCTATTGTAAAGCTGCAGAGACTAGGCTCTGTAATGTGACAAAAACATAAAACCCTCAGCATTATTAATGGGAA